GGGTTCAAGCAAAGCTTGACTCTGCTGCTGATGAGACAGTGAATGTGGAAACCGGTCCTTGCCTATAACCATCTAGAAGTTCACCAGCACTGGGTTCAAGCAAAGCTTGACTCTGCTGCTGATGAGACACTGAATGTGGAAACCGGTCCTTGCCGAAAACCATCTAGAAGTTCACCAGCACAGGCTTCAAGCAAAGCTTGACTCTGCTGCTGATGAGACACTGAATGTGGAAACCGGTCCTTGCCTATAACCATCTAGAAGTTCACCAGCACTGGGTTCAAGCAAAGCTTGACTCTGCTGCTGATGAGACACTGAATGTGGAAACCGGTCCTTGCCTATAACCATCTAGAAGTTTACCAACGTTGGGTTCAAGCAAAGCTTGACTCTGCTGCTGATGAGACACTGAATGTGGAAACCGGTCCTTACCTATAACCATTTAGAAGTTCACCAGCACAGGGTTCAAGCAAAGCTTGACTCTGCTGCTGATGCAGGGCCAGATTAAGATTCTGTAGGCCCCTGGGCTACAATTACTGTGAGCCCACCCCAGTAATATTTTCAAAAGGAAAACAAAGTAAAAAAAATGTATTTTTACAAAACGAACAACAAATAAAATTCAGCATTCACAAGTGAAAAAACTATTCACTTCGTCACTGTAGGCCCCCTGGGCTGAAGCCCCTAAAGCCCTCCCCCCCCACGCCTAGATCCGGCCCTGTGCTGATGAGACACTGAATTTCAAAACCAGTCCTTGCCGAAAACCATCTAGAAGTTCACCAGCACTGGGTTCAAGCAAAGCTTGACTCTGCTGCTGATGAGACACTGAATGTGGAAACCGGTCCTTGCCTATAACCATCTAGAAGTTCACCAATATTGGGTTCAAGCAAAGCTTGACTCTGCTGCTGATGAGACACTGAATGTGGAAACCGGTCCTTACCTATAACCATCTAGAAGTTCACCAATATTGCGTTCAAGCAAAGCTTGACTCTGCTGCTGATGAGACACTGAATGTGGAAACCGGTCCTTGCCTATAACCATCTAGAAGTTCACCAGCACTGGGTTCAAGCAAAGCTTGACTCTGCTGCTGATGAGACAGTGAATGTGGAAACCGGTCCTTGCCTATAACCATCTAGAAGTTCACCAGCACTGGGTTCAAGCAAAGCTTGACTCTGCTGCTGATGAGACACTGAATGTGGAAACCGGTCCTTGCCGAAAACCATCTAGAAGTTCACCAGCACTGGCTTCAAGCAAAGCTTGACTCTGCTGCTGATGAGACACTGAATGTGGAAACCGGTCCTTGCCTATAACCATCTAGAAGTTCACCAGCACTGGGTTCAAGCAAAGCTTGACTCTGCTGCTGATGAGACACTGAATGTGGGAAACCGGTCCTTGCCTATAACCATCTAGAAGTTTACCAACGTTGGGTTCAAGCAAAGCTTGACTCTGCTGCTGATGAGACACTGAATGTGGAAACCGGTCCTTACCTATAACCATTTAGAAGTTCACCAGCACAGGGTTCAAGCAAAGCTTGACTCTGCTGCTGATGCAGGGCCAGATTAAGATTCTGTAGGCCCCTGGGCTACAATTACTGTGAGCCCACCCCAGTAATATTTTCAAAAGGAAAACAAAGTAAAAAAATGTATTTTTACAAAACGAACAACAAATAAAATTCAGCATTCACAAGTGAAAAAACTATTCACTTCGTCACTGTAGGCCCCCTGGGCTGAAGCCCCTAAAGCCCTCCCCCCCCACGCCTAGATCCGGCCCTGTGCTGATGAGACACTGAATTTCAAAACCAGTCCTTGCCGAAAACCATCTAGAAGTTTACCAACGTTGGGTTCAAGCAAAGCTTGACTCTGCTGCTGATGAGACACTGAATGTGGAAACCGGTCTTTGCCTATAACCATCTGGAAGTTCACCAGCACTGGGTTCAAGCAAAGCTTGACTCTGCTGCTGATGAGACACTGAATGTGGAACCCAGTCCTTGCCGAAAACCATCTAGAAGTTCGCCAGCACTGGGTTCAAGCAAAGCTTGACTCTGCTGCTGATGAGACACTGAATGTGGAAACCGGTCCTTGCCTATAACCATCTAGAAGTTCACCAGCACTGGGTTCAAGCAAAGCTTGACTCTGCTGCTGATGAGACACTGAATGTGGAACCCAGTCCTTGCCGAAAACCATCTAGAAGTTCGCCAGCACTGGGTTCAAGCAAAGCTTGACTCTGCTGCTGATGAGACACTGAATGTGGAAACCGGTCCTTGCCTATAACCATCTAGAAGTTCACCAATATTGGGTTCAAGCAAAGCTCGACTCTGCTGCTGATGAGACACTGAATGTGGAAACCAGTCCTTGCCCATAACCATCTAGAAGTTCACCAGCACTGGGTTCAAGCAAAGCTTGACTCTGCTGCTGATGCAGGGCAGGATTAAGAGTCTGTAGGCCCCTGGGCTACAATTACTGTGAGCCCCCCCCAGTAATATTTTCAAAAGGAAAAAAATGTATTTTTACAAAGCGAACAACAAATAAAATTCAACATTCACAAGTGAAAAAACTTTTCACTTCATCTCTGTAGGCCCCCTGGGCTGAAGCCCCTAAAGCCCCCCCCCCCCCCACGCCTTGATCCGGCCCTGTGCTGATGAGACACTGAATTTCAAAACCAGTCCTTGCCGAAAACCATCTAGAAGTTCACCAGCACTGGGTTCAAGCAAAGCTTGACTCTGCTGCTGATGAGACACTGAATGTGGAAACCGGTCCTTGCCTATAACCATCTAGAAGTTCACCGGCACTGTGTTCAAGCAAAGCCCGCGTGACTCTGAGTAGTCACCTAAATGTCCAAACCTCTCCGAAGAGCTTTGCTTGAGTTGAAGCTTTTTTTTGCCATCAAGTTCATTGCCCTCCCAGGAGAGCCGTGCGGCCAATGGCCGATATGGGGGCGTTCCCGTTTACCACGTGGAGGGGGACAGATGATATGGGGAAGGAGGCACATTGCCCACTCGTCTGATTTCCATCTATCAGAGAATAGAAATAATTAACAATGACAAACAAAAGGTTTTCCAATTCAAACTTGACCCCCCAGATAAGGTCTAGCAGACCCCCCCCCCCCTCATCCATTTGTGCAGAAAACAGCGAGTAACTGCAAAAAAAATCGCAAACATCCTAATCTAGATAAACACGGGAGAGATAATTAACCACTCGGAAGGTACGGGGGAGGGGGGCGGGGAGAGGAGGCGCGCTCTCGTGAGCAAGCGGAACACGCCACGCAAACACATTTTTTGTTTGAGACATCCCATCAGGCAAAAGCGGCCCCCTTCAGTCTGAGAGCCCACAACGACTTCAGCTGTAGCAATGCTTTCACAGGCTCAACATGCGGCCTGGTTTACGCACGTTCATCGTCTGAACTGCCCACGCTTAATTAGGCAGAGACAACTCCCCCTCCCTCCTCCCTCCGTCTTCTTCATTCGTATGGATTAATGGCGGAAGATTTTTAGATGCGATTTTTAGACGTCGCTATCCACTCAATTGTCTGTTCAAGAAGCAGAGTGGGGGGGGGATCTCGTCCGTTCCCTCCTTTAGAAGGAGTCGAGGACCGTAGCATCGGCGGCGGCGTGTTTACGATGCGGTCGATGGTTTTTAAGGGGATTCGTCGGACAGCGCGTCTCCCTCTCGGGCCGCCGCATCGGCCATGCCCGGTCCCGATTTCGCTTTGATGGTCGACCCGTGCTCCGTGCTAGACATGGGTCCGAGTTCGACGCTAAACCGTACAACGCATTCAATTTAAAATTTAAAGCTTTCGTGACTGCAAGGATTCATCTTCTTTGGTTCTATTCGGTAAGGTCACGCGGAATGAGAGTAAAATAATAAAATAACACGATAAAAAAATTCTCACGGCCGCTTGCGTTGTGGCCGAAACAACGTCGTGAGAATTTTAATTGTGTTACTTTATTATTTTATTCTCATTCTACGTGACCTTGCCGAAAGAACCAAAGAAGACATACAATGCATTCTTGATTCGAAGCTTTCGTGACTGCAGGAATCCATACTCTATGGGTTCTCTCGGTAGAGTCGTCACGTGGGTAGAAAATAAAATAAAATCGCGACGTTTTGGGCGCAACGCAACAAGCGCCCGTCATCAGGGGGGGGAGAGCGTGGTCTCCGCTGCCGATCCTGACGCTTGCATATTTGGAGTTTGAATGTTCTCCCTTTCCATCCCCGTGGCTGCATCGACTTTTTGCCGGGTCGTCCCGCTTTTCCCCCCCCTCCGCATTTAGAAACATGCGCGCTTAAGAGTATTTGGCTACTATAAAATTTCCACGTAATAATCCACTTCGATGAGCTATCATTTGTGGCCAGGTCACTTCTGAAAAAAGAGCCACATAGCTCATTGGGCCTTATACCGGGTAAAATCAAAATAGAAGATTTAAAAAAAGATATATTTTATATCTATTTGTCCGGATTACTTTGTGATCTGCCTGTACCGACGATGTGTTGAAATGCTTCGGCACCATACGTAGCCAACCCGTGCTAAATCGGAGGGTGCGTGGGAAGGACAATCCGATTAAAACACAAAAAGCAGTTGGGAATTTTTTGGTTGTTTTATGACCCAAATATCAATTACGAAGCGTGATTTTTATCAGCTGCGATAGAATCCATGCTCGGTCAGTTCACGGGGGCGGGGGGTGTGCAAAAAAAGCAGGCCTTCCTTCAGAGTGCACACAACTGCAGTAGCATTGGTTTCAACGCAAGCTCAACAACTTGTGGCCTGGTTTCCCCATTCAATGTCTGAACTGCCCAGACACTTATTTGGCAGAGGACCCTCTCGCTCGCTCTCCATCTTCTTCTTCTTCTTCTTCCATAATGGATTAATAGCAGCAGATTACAGCTGTAATTTTAGATGTTGCCATCCACTCGATTGTCTTTGAAAAGGAGTGAAGAAGGAGAGGCGGCGAGACGGAGCGTTTACAATTGCGGTCGACGGCAAACTGCTGGCGCCCGTCCCGCGCCATTCACCTGAAGATGTCCGGCTGCCGAACCAGCGCCGTGTCGAGGACGTGGCCGTGCATGAACTCGTAGCAGAGGCCGTTGAGGAAGGTGCAGTAGAGGCTGGGCGCGCAGCCGTAGGCCTGCAGCACCTGCGGCAAGGTCACGCGTCACCACAGGCGGCAGCGGCAGAGTCAGCGGCAGCACAGGGGTCAGATCCGACTCTCGGGGTGTTCATTTTCGCGAGGCGAGGAAAGGAAATGACCGGCAAGCGGGGTGGGCGGGCGAGCGGGCAGGCGTGTGGGTGGTGCGGGAGAGGGCCGACAGGCAGAAGAGACTGGCAGCAGCGGGCCCCGGCTAACTCACGGCGACATCCGCGCGCGAAAATCAGCATCGCAAGAGCCAAAAAAACGTCGTTTGACGTCTCAATCTCTCTCTCTCGGTTCTCCATTAAAAAAATCAACAGGCTAAAAAAAAAAGTCCGTGACATAGGTTATCTTGGGTGAGATAGAGTAAATATAAATGAGTCGTTAAGCCCGCCACCAGCCGACATAGTAAGGGTTCGTCACGTTCATATCCACGCGATCCAACCCAAAAAAACCTACACTACGGACGATTTTGATTTAAAGCTTTCGTGACTGCAGTAATTCATATTCTTAGCTCTTTCGGTAAAGTCACGTTGAAGGGAAACAATAAAATAATAAAATATATAAAACAATAAAAAATTCTCACGACGTTTCGATCATAACACAAACGGTCGTCATCAGGTGTGAAAAACCAACGTTGGTGTGAAAAACCAACATCGTGAGAATTTTTTATTGTTTTATATATATTTTATTACTTTATTGTTTCCCTTCAACGTGACTTTACCGAAAGAGCTAAGAATACTATGGATGATATTGGTCACGAAAGCCTACGTGTTAAACAGACCAATAAAATATTATCACCGTTCACGCAAAACGCTTTCACGGATGACGTTACGGAAAAAAAAAATAATCGACCGCTGGGGGCGAAGGGGCGGGGGGGGGTATAGGCCACGTAACTATCCACCTGATGACAGACGCTTGTGTTGAGCCCGAAACGTCGCGATTCATTTTCTACCTACGCGACTTTACCGAAAGAACCGAAGAGGATGGATTCCTGCAGTTCACGAAAGCTTCAAATCAAGATTTATCGGGACGAGTTTGTGTGGGGGAATTGTCCCTCTGCCGCCAAAACGACACGGCCAACATGAATTAAACCACACTCTTCGGTTCTATTCGGTAAAGTCACGTAGGTAAAAAAAATAAAGCAACAAAAATCACGACGTTTCGGCCACAACACAAGTGGCCTTCATCAGGCGAAGGGACCAGGCTGTCTCGAGGACAGCGCTGGAGTGCCCGTTGTCTGTTAAAAGCTCTAACGGATAGGTGAAAGCCCTCCCCGTGGAGGTTATCAATTCTAGATGTAAAGCTTTCGAGACCGCAAGGATCCATACTCTTTGGTTCTATTCGGTAAAGTCACGTAGCTAAAAAAATACGCGACTTTATACCGAACAGAACCACGGAGTATGGATCCTTGCAGCCACGAAAGCTTCAAATCTAGAAACGAATCAAACCGTCGTCTCGGCACGCCCAGCGGCGAGCCGACCGGGAGAAATCTCGCGGCGCCCTCCCCCTCTCCCCTCGTGTCGCAACCGCCGGGAGTTTGAACGGCGAGGAAACGCTTGCTCGCTGCTGCTCCCCTTTTCGAATGTCGATCCAAGAAAAAAATAAATAAAATAAAAACGCAACAACTCCCAGCCCTGAACCCGTTGCACGAAACCCTTCGCCAGCGTCCACGCGGCAGGGGAACCTCGCTCGTTGGGCTGCTTAGCCGTTGCTTCGAGTTACTAAAAAAGTGGAATGAAGAACCAAGCAGGCTAAGCTTCCGTGGTGGGGGGGGGGGGGGGGGGGGGGGGCGGTCGGGGGGGGGGGGGGGGGGGGGGGGGGGGGGGGGGGGGGGGGGTTTGGCAACTGTGCAGCTCCCCCGAGGCTTTTTGGAACAACGCTTTTTGCCTCTCTGCTCGCGAGACATTGAGTCGTCGTTAATGGCCGTCCCGACTTGAAAATTCACCTCTTTTCAAAATTGACCCTCCCCCCCCCCCCCCCCCCCCCCGCCGCACCGTCGCCTCGCTCTGCGGCGAACAAGGGTCCCGATCATTTCCTTCGTCCCAAACATGGTGGCGGGCGCGTTGGCGGGCCCGCCGCGGGTGGAATGCGGCACTTAAAATTTGTGTGTTTTTTAATAATTATAATTATTATTATTATTCTTCAAGTGAACGAGAGTTCTCCTGCCCGAGCGAGCCGTCAACGGCATCGGTGCTTTTCCCTCCCTTCCTCACCGTCCGCAGCCAGCGCTGGGGAAATGTCCACATTCCTATGGCAGGGAGGGGGGGCAACCCTGAACACAGGGCCATCCACCGCCGACTTCCCCATGAAGCGGTACCCAGTTTACCCACGCCGGAGGTGGACGGGGTGGAGGTGGATGATGGGTCGAGTCAATCTCCCAACCGGGGATTGAACGCTCGACCGGGTGGGTGGGGGGGGGCTTCCTGCCGCTGTGCCTCCAGGCTGTGGTGTCTCAACTAATTGAAATGCTTAATTCAAACCACGCGTGCCACGCACAAAAAGTGAAAGACACCACCCCCCATCATCATCATAATCATCGGTGCAGGTGGTCACAGACCCCCCCAATGGTGAGAAGTGGCGCGAGTGGCCCTCACGTGCACACCGAAGTCGTCTTATTGGTGGAAGTGGGGCCCCCCCCTCTCCCTCGGAAAATGAGTGAAGAACCAACCACTGTTCCGCACGGACTGCCAGAGCGCCTAAGCACAAACCACCTAAGCACAAACCGCCTGGCCAGACATTAGGAGTAGTGCGCATTATAATAATACGTAACTATAGCAATATTACGAGCTTAGTGCCATTTGGTATATTCGTGCCATGGCAGGCGATGGATGGGTCCAACTGGGTGTATCAAGCGACTGCAACGTGGATCCTTCAACGTCTTCCGCTAAGTAGATGGCGAGCGGTGTAATTTAGTAAACATTTGTACGGTTTAAAAAAAAAAATTATATATATTTTTTATTGTTATGTTTCAATACTGTCATTTTTTTCATGTTTAATTTCTTATCGTTATTTTTTTAAACAGAATTAAAAAAAAAAATTTTCATTGCAATTTTTTTTTTATAATTTGACATACATTTTGGTTATTTTTAGATCGTTGAACTTTTTTTTTTTAACGCGGCGATATCGGTGGAGGCCTGCCAGATTGGTACCGTGAACGTCGGCAGCGGGCGGGTGCTGCCGGGAACCGCCGCCAGATCTTTGATTTGGGAGCGACTTGGGGAGTATCTCGGCAAGAAGAAGGAAAAAAAAAACAACCCATTCGTGGCTCATCGGATTCTACCCGCTATTAAATAACAATTCCGATTTTGTATTTCCGGAGTGGCGTGAGGTGCAGTGGGTTTGGTGGTAGCGGTAGCGGCGGTAGCGGCGGTAGCGGTAGCGTCTCTCACTTGGAAGCTCTTCAGCTCGTTGTCCCTGTCGACAAACAGCTCCGTCATGTTGCCGTACACTCGGATGAGCACGACGTCCTCCCTGCTGTCCCCTCGTGAGCAGCCCACCAGCTTGTTCGTGATGCCGTCCGTGAACAGCTGCAGGCACGCACGCACGCACACACACACACACACGCCACTCCGCGTCAGCCACGACACCCCGCGTCAGCCACCGCTGCTCCGCCCCCTTCCATCTTCGCCGGCGGAAGAGTTCCACCCCCTCCCCCCGCCACCCCCTCCACCCCCCCCCCCCCCCCCAGAGCAGCCCCCCACAAGCGGCCGTGCAGCGGGAGGTGGGGGGGGGGGTGAGAAGCTCCCGCGTTTGAAGCGTGCGTGAAATTGCACAAGGCAGGCTTTTCTTTTTGTTTGTTCCCGCCCGACAAGAAATTCAAACGGAATGATTTGGGCGTTCGAGGCGTGAGGCTGTCGCGTGGCCAAGGAGGAGGGGGGGGGGGGGGGGTGGGTGTCCGGAACCCCGAGCCTGAAGCAAGCGGTCGGGGTTAGCCCCCACCCCTACCCCCACCCACCGGGTACCATCGTTGATGTTTGCTACGCGGGTGTGCAATACCCAATTAGAGGGGGTGCCCCCCCCCCCCTACTCCCCGCCCCCCTCCCCCCCGATTTTAAAGAACGTCCAGTAACAACAGCGAAGCGTAGGATGTTACAGGTTAGCACGACCCACAGTAATATACCCGGTGGGGGAGGGGGGCGGTGTCTCATTTTGAACACGTGCCCGCACTGGAGCGAGCGCCCATGTCGTTTATTTATATTCATGCCTTGCACCCAGGAGGACGACGATTTGCCCGCCCTCGCACCCCCCCCCCCCATTCAGATTAGCGTAAACCGCGTCGAAGCGTTGGGGGACGTGGAACCACTGCGCAGAGGGGAACGGGGAGGGGGGGTGTGAGATGCGAGGGAGAGGTCGTGCTGGATGCTGTAGATGCGTGCTTTCGGAAGGAGCACCGGGCACACGGACACCGCGCACACACCCAAGCATACCGACACACCGCACGCACACACACACACACACAAACACACACCCCGCACGCACACACCCAAGCATACAGACACACCGCACGCACACACACACAAACACACACCCCGCACGCACACACCCAAGCATACAGACACACCGCACGCACGCACACACACACACCACCCGCACGCACTCACACAGCATACAGACACTGCACGCACACGTACACAGAGCATACCGACACACCACACACACCCCGCACGTACACACAGCATACCGACACACCACACACACCACACACCCAAGCATACCGACACACCGCACGCGCGCACACACACAAACACACCACCCGCACGCGCTCACACAGCGTACAGACACACCGCACGCACAAGTACACACAGCATACCGACACACCACACACACATCACACAGACCCCGCACACACACAGCATACCGACACACCACACACACACCACACACACAGACCACACACACCACACACACACACCACACAGACCCCGCACACACACAGCATACCGACACACCACACACACATCACACAGACCCCGCACACACACAGCATACCGACACACCACACACACACACCACACACACCACACACACACACCACACAGACCCCGCACGCACACACACAGCATACCGACACACCGCACACACCAACAGTGCACATGAAAACGCAGCACACCGGCCACACTGATATATACAGTGAGGGAAAAAAGTATTTGATCCCCTGCTGATTTTGTACGTTTGCCCACTGACAAAGAAATGATCAGTCTATAATTTTAATGGTAGCTTTATTTGAACAGTGAGAGACAGAATAACAACAACAAAATCCAAAAAAACGCATGTCAAAAATGGTATAAATTGATTTGCTTTTTAATGAGAGAAATAAGTATTTGACCCCTCTGCAAAACATGACTTAGTACTTGGTGGCAAAACCCTTGTTGGCAATCACAGAGGTCAGACGTTTCTTGTAGTTGGCCACCAGGTTTGCACACATCTCAGGAGGGATTTTGTCCCACTCCTCTTTGCAGATCTTCTCCAAGTCATTAAGGTTTCGAGGCTGACGTTTGGCAACTCGAACCTTCAGCTCCCTCCACAGATTTTCTATGGGATTAAGGTCTGGAGACTGGCTAGGCCACTCCAGGACCTGAATATGCTTCTTCTTGAGCCACTCCTTTGTTGCCTTGGCCGTGTGTTTTGGGTCATTGTCATGCTGGAATACCCATCCACGACCCATTTTCAATGCCCTGGCTGTGGGAAGGAGGTTCTCACCCAAGATTTGACGGTACATAGCCCCGTCCATCGTCCCTTTGATGCGGTGAAGTTGTCCTGTCCCATTAGCAGAAAAACACCCCCAAAGCATGTTTCCACCTCCATGTTTGACGGTGGGGATGGTGTTCTTGGGGTCATAGGCAGCATTCCTCCTCCTCCAAACAAGTTGAGTTGATGCCAAAGAGCTCCATTTTGGTCTCATCTGACCACAACACTTTCACCCAGTTGTCCTCTGAATCATTCAGATGTTCATTGGCAAACTTCAGACGGGCATGTATATGTGCTTTCTTGAGCAGGGGGACCTTGCGGGCGCTGCAGGATTTCAGTCCTTCACGGCGTAGTGTGTTACCAATTGTTTTCTTGGCGACTATGGTCCCAGCTGCCCTGAGATCATTGACAAGATCCTCCTGTGTAGTTCTGGGCTGATTCCTCACCGTTCTCATGATCATTGCAACTCCACGAGGTGAGATCTTGCATGGGGCCCCAGGCCGAGGGAGATTAACAGTTCTTTTGTGTTTTTTCCATTTGCGAATAATCGCACCAACTGTTGTCACCTCCTCACCAAGCTGCTTGGCAATGGTCTTGTAGCCCACTCCAGCCTTGTGTAGGTCTACAATCTTGTCTCTGACATCCTTGGAGAGCTCGTTGGTCTTGACCATGGTGGAGAGTTTGGAATCTGATTGATTGATTCTGTGGACAGGTCTTTTATACAGGTAACAAGCTGAGATTAGGAGCACTCCCTTTAAGAGTGTGCTCCTAATGTCAGCTCGTTACCTGTATAAAAGACACCTGGGAGCCAGAAATCTATCTGATTGAGAGGGGGTCAAAGACTTATTTCCCTCATTAAAATGCAAATCAATTTATAACATTTTTGCCATGCGTTTTTCTGGATTGTGTTGTTGTTATTCTGTCTCTCACCGTTCAAATAAACCTACCATTAAAATTATAGACTGATCATTTCTTTGTCAGTGGGCAAACGTACAAAATCAGCAGGGGATCAAATACTTTTTTTTCCACCCCCCTCACTGTACATTGCTCACCGGGCACACGAGAGACAGACTGCACAGCTGATGCACGCAGGGGGAGGAGGATCTGCAGAGGGGGACGGACGGTTCCCTGGGAACCTGCTTCACTCGTCACCCTTCTCCAATAATTTAGGGAGATATCCTTTCCAATCAGCCGCTCCGGTTGCCGTCCTTTGCTCGCCGGTTAGCCAAAAGCCGCCGCCGCCGCCGCCAGGGTGGCCGGAGTTTGCCCGACGGAGGCTTTAAATACTCCTTGACGATGTCAGCGGAGGCGTCGTGGTTCAATTTGTTGGTGAGGCGACTTGCGTGGGGGACGCGCGTGTGTGTCGAACGCGCCACGCGCCGGGAGCCCAGGGGACATGTCGGCGTGCCGCCTTCTAGCTCTGTACTTCCCGAGCCGGGGCGGTCGAGCAGACGCGAGCCAAAGCTAGGGCCCACGGACAAGCCTATGGCGCTGCGCAGTTTTATCGATTTACGTATCCACATCGCACTCCGCCATTAACCAAAAGACAAAGATCCCCCCCCCCCCCCCGGTACAGCCTTAAAGGACTGTTGGGGGCGAGTGCTGCTTTGAGAGTAACACTACTAACCTATCCGAATCAGAATATGTATTTATCCTGCAGGAATCCGATGAGCTATGAAGGTCTTTTTGCACAGATGTTCAGTAGAAAACGAAGGCCGGCTAAGCACACGATGGGGGGGGGGGGTAGGGGGGGGGGGGATGGGAGGGTGACCAGCACCACACCCTGCCGCCTTCAGTCTACCCAAGCGATAGTTCCAGATTCAACGGATAGCAATGGCAGACCGAGGTTAGTATCCACGATCAAAAGCCCAGTTCCCAAGCCATGCGCCAATCATCCTCGAGGCCTCAAAAGGAGGGTAAACTTATTTATTTGAGGCCCGAGATGATCCAGAGGAGGACCCCCTGAACCGGCTCGGATAATCGACACCGGTGTGTTGGCGGCGGCCATGAGGAGGGCGGTGGGGAGGGAGGGAATTCCCTCCCCCCCACCGTCACGTGGCCAATTGGTAACCTCCAGGGAGGGGTGGGGAGGGAGGGAATTCCCTCCCCCCCACCGTCACGTGGCCACTTGGTAACCTCCAGGGAGGGGTGGGGAGGGAGGGAATTCCCTCCCCCCCACCGTCACGTGGCCAATTGGTAACCTCCAGGGAGGTGTGGGGCGGGGGGGGAATTCCCTCCCCCCCACCGTCACGTGGCCACTTGGTAACCTCCAGGGAGGTGTGGGGGGAGGGAATTCCCTCCCCCCCCCATCATCACGTGGCCACTTGGTACCCTCCAGGGAGGTGTGGGGAGGGGGGGGGAATTCCCTCCCCCCCATCGTCACGTGGCCACTTGGTAACCTCTAAGGAGGTGTGGGGGGAGGGAATTCCCTCCCCCCCCCCCATCGTCACGTGGCCACTTGGTACCCTCCAGGGAGGTGTGGGGGGGGGAATTCCCCCCCCCTCGTCACGTGGCCACTTGGTAACCTCCAGGGAGGGGTGGGGAGGGGGGGGGAATTCCCTCCCCCCATCGTCACGTGGCCACTTGGTAACCTCCAGGGAGGGGTGGGGAGGGGGGGGAATTCCCTCCCCCCCATCGTCACGTGGCCACTTGGTAACCTCCAGGGAGGTGTGGGGAGGGGGGGGGGGAATTCCCTCCCCCCCCCCATCGTCACGTGGCCACTTGGTAACCTCCAGGGAGGTGTGTGGGGGTGGGGGAATTCCCTCCCCCCATCGTCACGTGGTCACTTGGTAACCTCCAAGGAGGTGTGTGGGGGGGAATTCCCTCCCCCCCCCATCGT